TATTCCTGTAACATGTACCTTCTGGCTAATCTTTAATAACTGGTAATAATAGTCTATATTATCTTATCCATATATTAAATAAACTTCTAGATAACAGGGGCATCTTTATAAATATTATTTTCAAGTTTTATTCTATGATTTCCAACATCTTAAATCCTAATATAGGCAATACTGTATAATCTTCTTAAACTCTGGACAAAATCATGTTAGATTCTCTGAGATCTCTTTCAAGATACAGTCTAATTAATAAATAATATCTTTCTAATTATTCTTCTGGTTTTCTTTGTCCTCGTCTTACTATATTAAACAGGATTTACTAATTTCTGATAAAGGTTTTTTCAGGGTATTAGATATCTTGCTAAGTCTCTTTTTACTAGGTCCAAGACTTTTAAGCTGAGTACTATACTCTTTATCCAATAGATTGAATTTATTCTAAACTATACTGGGATAATCATTCCTTGGAACTAGCTCATAACTGTTATTATTAACTTCTATAATCCAAGCTAATAATACAAATAATTATCAATTCTCTTATTAACTGAATAGTGCTATTGACTTATCCGTGATGGTCTGTTACCTCAACCAATCACAGTACATTCTGTTCTCTAACAGCTGACTATATTAAATAATATATAACTTCTTATTACTTAGTATCCGCGTTACAGTGTCCATCTAAACTTCGTGTTAAATAGTAGTGACATCATAGGCTCCTCTACCTTAATCTTGGTTTATAACTCTTAACTGCTTCTAAGGCTGTTTCTGACTGCAGTTCTTTAACTAGTGATCTACTTTACCACAGCTAAAGTACAAGCAGTCTCTTTTACACTGTTCAAGTTCCTTCTTAAATACTTTACTCTATTAAGTCTGATGCTGTACTGCATCCAGCTTCATTGGTTTTAATCTATAGAAAGCTTCATATCCCAAGCTCCTAGATTATACCGACCTTTCATTATTAACTCAGTAACCTGTTTAGCTGTTTTATCAAGATATAGACCCACTGGTCCATTAATCCTCTTATTATTTTATATTATATTCATACAACTTGTTATCAATCTTGACTACTACTTCAATCATCTTTAACAACATGTTTAGTTATTCTTATCAGATAAGTTTCTCTTAGATCTCCATCTTGAGTCCTTCTTTAAATTATGTAATGTAGATATCATTATCCCAATCTAAGTAACTAATAACTTACAAAAACTTCAAAGCATACTTAAATACCAATCCAGTCTATTTAAATCACTATAATTTTTACTCAGCATTCTATACCGCATTAATATCTCTAAACATCTGTTTAAAACACTGTTTAAATCTAGTATAACTGGTAAAGATTTACTTCATGTTATTATCCTAATTATTTACTAACTTTTCTTAATACTCATGAATATACAGTTTAAACTAATTGAATATTAATCCAGTCAGATAGATAGACGCGAAAAGAATCTTATTAACCTTATTTTTAAGCTTTTCTCTATTCATGCCGAGATACAAGTCCAACTGGATCAAGAAAGCCCTAAGCTTTACTTAATTACTGTTAAATAGTTCCGGTAATCAGATCTTAACAGATTTAATTATTAAGCAACCTTCAAGTAACTGGTTTTATCATTTTAAGATAGTGATACTTTCTTACAATTAACTAACCATACCCATCAGTTCTTGTATTATCAGGCCCTGTTACTGTGAGGCGCGCGATGAGTTCAAAGTAGTCAATATAATAAATAATTATTACTAGATAATACTTATACTGACTGGTGCTCAATATATCAAACCCTAGGATTGCTTCTCTCTGTTTCTGTTAGCTTAGCTTCCGTTCCAATACGTACCTTTGAACTGAATCGAGGTAAGTCAGACTAATAACTATCTAATAGCAACTAGTCCTGAATAAGAGAAGAGAAGTAAGGCCAGATAGTGCCGCGCAGCTATCTGTAAGTAAGTACAGACAAGTATTATCACTAAGCTTTATCAAAACATATGGTTACTTAAAGACAGTATTATTAAGCACGAAGAACAGAACTAGCTAAATACATAAAAGAGTATTCTTATATCCTATCCTTTATCATGGCATCGTCATGATATATCATATCACTGATATATTATGTTATAGTGCTGCCATGTCCTGTTATAACACTGACATATTATAGCATGTCGGTGACATATTCATCATGGTCACGTGTTGTGTAACCGTCCCGGTTATAGGTTACTCAGATCAGGATTCTACTTGATAAGAGTCCTTGCTTTTCCAGACGTAGCCTTCTGCCTAATGAGTCCGCCTCACTAGTTCGTTCAGCTAGCAGGGGTCCGTAACAGAACTCTCTTAGTTTATATATTATATGAATACATGCTTTATATATCAGAATCAGAAGTATATTATGAATTACTAACCCAGGATACCGGAAGTAGTAAGAGCTAAAATAAGCTATTATTTATATTTTAATTATCATTGTTTATGTAAAGAATACCAACGATACCTATATTATAGATTAATATATTGGCTAGCATGTTTTAATAATTAGTGTATGATATATTATACAGTAAAAATAAAAGGCTTGAGATTTCTAAGAAGATATTCAAGATAATCAGAACCTAACTAGCCAGATCAGCAGTTAGCAGCCACTGAATCGGGACCACACTTAAAGATCCAAGCAACTGTACTAGATTAAATAGCTCAAGTACTGGTAGACTCTGGCGCGACCGGAAACTTCATGAATCCATAATTCATGCAGTAGCTTGGGATACTCAGAAAACAGAAAGCAGAACCTGAACTGATTACAGGACTAAATAAAGAGAATTTGGGAACTCTTATATTAATAGTCGAGTGAGAAACCATATCTATGACTGTAAAGGGTTATCTTGAATACATAGATTTTAACGTGACACTACTAGAATAGTATGATATTATATTAGGGATTCCATGGTTCAGGAATCATAACCCACAAATTAATTAAAAGACTGAGAGTCTCTAATTCATGGATTGTGATTGCCCAAGACAACACCAGCAAGGACCAGGTATGGGGTCTGGATCCATATGGCCCGCTACTCAGCAAGAGGCTGAAGCAAGGACTAAGTAACCTATAGAAAGGTTAAGAACACTATAAAAGCCTAACACGCCAAGCATCAGAGATAACTCAAAGGAAAATAACATCTCAAGTATTGTCATACAAGTAATAGCAGCAATCAAGCCATCATAAAGAGATTAGCTTAAGAAATTATCAGAATAGGTATTAACAATAACAGAAGAATACTGAGAATACAGCATTAACAGCACTGACTCAGAAATCAAGATACTAGAGTAAGAACTAGAAGACTCATAGAAACTTCTAATAATAATCAGGAATAATCTATATGTTCTGCTACAGTATAAGAGATTCAAGGACTTATTTAAATAGCTAGAATAACCTAAATTATCTTAACACAGAAAGCATGACTACACTATTTCTATTAAAGAAAGGAAGTTACCAATATACAGAAAGATTTACCCAATATTTAAAAAGAAATTACAGATATTACAGGAATATATTGATAATTAATTAATAAAAGATAATATCAGACCTTTAAAATCACCAGCAGAATATGGAGTCTTATTTATATTAAAAAAGGACAGCAGTTTACAGCTATATATGGATTATCAATCACTTAATATTGGCCATTTCTCGTACATGAGATGGTCGGGGACCTGCACCACGCTGATCTAGAGAAAGAATCCATCATACAAGTGATTCCTCTTCATTTTGAGTCAGCTTATGGGAATTGGCGCGTGCCTTAACGCGAGAGGCAACTCCATTAAACCGCCGTCGAAGGGTTGTAAAGGGAACATTATAGACGCGTACTGCTTCACGGATACTAGAGATTTGTTTCTTTTGTAAAGCAGAAATTGCAAGTAAAAGCCGGCCCTCCTGCTCAATAGATTCTTTTGAATTCGTACGCGCTTTTGGTGGCATGGTTTCTGGTTAAATTTAGGTGTGTAATACAATCGCGACCAGAACGCGTGAGGTGATCCGCTCGCTTGCGTGATCCGCTCGCTTACCGATTACGTTAGGTCGCGTGAACTACGTCCACCAATCAATACGAGCACATCATTAATGCTGTATTACATCAGCTCAGAATGGACCAAACCTTGGCGGATGTCATTTCCGAGCAACTTGAGTCAAACGACGATGGCTGAGGAATCCTCTTGGCGTGGCGGACTCTGGTGGCTGAAGAAGTCGATGTATCAACAGAAGCTTAGTAATAGGGTAAAAGAGCATATGATGCTAGCTTCATGGATCAAGACATCACAGCAACATCTCATCCCCCCAATTGTCCAGAATTCCCGATTTACCCCATCCGTGGACCTGTGCCTAATCCCACCGGTTCACCATGCAGCAGCAGCCGATCATCGTTGCCCATGTCGCTCGTCTGATTCAGCAACCTATCGAGAGCGTGGACCTGGAGTACAGCCTCGCCAATCTCGGTGCTTATTCTCTTCTACCGTTGGGGCTGGCTCGGCCTGCAAAAGCCATGGCGCTTTCCTGTGAATGGGATCGATTCTCTCGTGCAGCAGCATGGCGAAGCTCATCTGCTCTGTCGTTCACATTCCTGTAAAGGATATGGGGCAGACCGTTAATCAAACCGCAGAGCACCAGACATGCCACCATGGCACAGACCCCTCGCAGCAACACTTCGCTCCTGACCTAGATGCAAGTGCCCTCCCTCCACAGCCACGAAAAAACCCCGGGTCCACCACAATCAACCATTTTGGGACCTACCAGACGAGATATCTCCCTGCTTCTAAAGCCGCCAGGAAGACCGTCATGTAGACTGAGACTTGTTTCCGGATGTCTTCTAACACAAGAGACAGCCAGTCCCTGCGCCGCTCAGATAGACCGAAAAAGTGCTGGGCTCACGGAAGACATATGATTCTGCTCTGACCCGGGGGATGTTGTCGCATACAATCCAATGCTACTTCAATGTCGTGACCCTACCTGCCGTCGGGATAAGCACTGTCATCTAGCGCGTCCACCATGTCTTTGTTAACGGCATTTCGGGGCAGCTCATCTATAGTAAGGTCCGCGACATCATCAACAGCCGGGCTATTACTGTAGAGGCACCTTTCAGCAACGTTGCCAACAGTCTCCGCCTCTTTCAAGAATAGCGTCGCGAAAGCCAACGACATTTCCGGAGACAGCAGCTTGAGAAGCACCCCCAGCCTGCTGCTGAACCAGGCATCCCTCCCGTCCGGGATGAAATGCAGGCTGGCATCGACAACATCTCATTCGAGGATACCATTGGGCCTTTGATCAACGTCTTGCCTTTTCATGTGTCCATCAATGGGAAGCAGTCCACGACCGATTATCTGCGCTCTGTCTCCCCCCACTTCATCCAGCTGACGTCTGTGCAGAGCTCGACCCCCGATGACGGATACTGCCGCGACTTTACGTCTGCCATCGCCATGGAGTTTGAGATGTAGCCCTCCGACAGCCATCCTGTCCGACCAATTGGAAAGTCCTGGTTCCGGGTGGTGCCTGACGTCCCACTGTTGTTGTACACACAATGGCACGCTGCGCCTCTGCTACTGATCCCAGCAGTTTCAGCGTGACGATATCCAACTGCTGGCTGACCACTTTCGCCGTGCCATTCACGGGGAAGTCTGGTCTGTTCTTGCTCACCGGTCCATCAATTAGATCATCGCTATCTACGGCATCCTCAAGGCAGGTGGTGTCTACTTTGCCCAGGACCCCGGCTTGCCCGATTACATTCGTGATGGCCGATAGGATTGATTCATTTGCTTACTTCAAGAAGACCAATGCTGCGATTTTGAATCCCTCGGTGACCGAGATCCTCCTGCTGGAGGATTTCCCCGATTTGCGGAGGGTATAACTGGTCGAAGAGCCCGTACCACAGTATGTTAATGACGTCTGGTCCCGCGCCACGACGTTGTACAACATGTACGGCCCGACAGAAGCCACTTGCGGTGCAACCATCCAACGTCTGCTTCCCGGTCAGCCCGTCACAATTGGTGGCCCGAATCCTACCACGCGAATTACATTCTTGGCTGGCATCAGCATCTTCTTCCCCCAGGGGTGATCAGGGAGATCTACTGCGCCGGGGTGTAGGTGACTCTGCATCAGCTGGTTCTGGCGTCAGTTGCCTTGGCTCTCCAGTCCAACCGCAACGACATCGACATTGTCCTCGGGGCCCCATACTTCAATCGCGGACAAGATGACCTAGACACCGTGGGTCTGTTCCTCGAACCGATCCCCATCCGCATCCAGTTTCCTTTCCCACAGGATCAGGCATCTGTATCAACCCTGTCATTCGTCCGTGCTGTCCAACGATGCAGTCAATCTGCCATCGCTCACGCGATTCCCTGGACCCAACTTTCAGAAGCAGTGGGCGCGTCGAAGACTGACTTCCATAATCCCCCCTGCTGGACGTGATGGTGACTTTCCACGACGATCGCACGTCACCCCGGTTACCTGTTGACGGCCTCGACCCGGTGATCACTTATACGAAGGGATCAAAATTTGCGCTTCTGGTGGAGTTTTGTGCGGTTTCTGATGGGACGATTCTGATGAGATTAGAGTATGATACCGAGTGTATTCCGAAGGAGAAGATCCGGGGTATAGATAAGATGATTCTCGAGGCGCTGAGAATGGTCGTAGAGGGGGATTCATATGGTGCTGTTAAGGAGAGGATGAGGTCGATGAGTGTGACCGGGGGTGGTGTCCATGGAAAGGTGGAACGGTATTTCGGGATGAGGTTGGCTGATTTGCGGAGGGAGTAGGAAACTGGGGGTGGAGGTGTAGATAGATAGACTGTGCAGTTCAGTGAGAGTGTTGTGTAGGAGATCAAGAGCTTCCCCGTGATTTCTTTGTTTCCGATTCTGGGTCACGCGGATTGGTTGCCGCTGGAGGCCCCGGATACGAATACGAGGCGGTGTGTCTGGGAGCTGATCTGACAGGTATATCTTCTACTTGCAGGGGGACCGGACTGGGTAGATTCCAATAGTAGCTACTTTAAAGCCTAGAATGGTTTGGAATATGGTATGTCTTGTTGGGTCATTGCACGTCCTTTCATTCAGCTATCTCTCACTTGCCAACCCCCTCATAGCATTCACTCTCGTTCATGCAGCGACGCGGAGCAACTCTCCTCTAGGCGATATCACGAACATTGGCAGAGGTGTATCCAGTGGTCGAAACCCCAACCGGGGCCCAATACAGCTGCCACACGCCTGTCACGTTTGTCTCCTTGACATAGAACGTATCGAAGAGCTCCCCAGAGTCATCCTCGTACATCAGCCAGGCGCCGTACCAGATCCACTTGTCCGTCACGGCATCAGAGGGGGTGTCGTCCCCGGTGAAACCGACCTCCGTGATGGCGTCATCGTTGGGGCGGATGTACAGCAGAGTATCGTCGGCAAGAGTGACGCCGTCGGTGAGAGCTTCGGTAGAGATCTCGCCGTCGCTGAAGGTAACTGTTGATAGTTAGCATCGGCAATTTACTCGGTTATGGAAGATACTAACGAGTGATATCGGTCACGACGGAGCCGTAGGTCCAGTCCGAGGCAGTGCCAAAGTAGGCAAGTCCTGGTGCATTACCATTAGCGGATATCAGCAAAGTGGTATGAAATTATGTACCATCAGCGTAGAACAACTTGATCGGGCTCGAGGCAACGCCGTAATCATAAAGGGTGAAGTTGCCATCCGGGCTGCGCTTGACCACATCCCGAAGGGAACGCAGAGGACTGGCAGTCACTCCGGTGACTGCTGCGAGTGCAGAGAAAACAGAAACAGCAAATGAAGTCCTCATGATGGTTAAGATGTGATTCTTGGAGCCGGTAGTTAGAATATCGTCGGGGGGTAATGTCCCTTTATATTTGCAGCGCGTATTCAAGCTCCCCTCCCTAATCATGCCCACGAGCAATTGTGGATGACCTTTACTCCGGACCTTTCGATAGTCTCGTGGCCGACTCGCATCAATACGATTGACGCGTCATCTAGGTCCGGAGTTGGGTTGAGAGGAAGGCCAAGTGGAGGGGCCAAGCACCCTAGATCTTTAGCCTCAAACCCATCGATCCTGATTTCCTGCCCGCCATGTGGAGCGGAACGAGAGCCGAGCCGCGAATGGTTTAGGTCCGAGGCTAAATATTAGCTATTTGTCTTCAAGCAACTCATCCCTTGTTCCCATTTGTTCGCAACGCAGATATGATACGGCCCAAAACATGCCGAATATCCACAGCGCCGCTTGAAGAGTTGAAGGATCCGAGCTTGAACGACACAGGCGGGTATTTGTCATGATTACCTTAGGGGAGAACCTGTTGAAAGGCGCGCCATATTTGCCTCGTGGCGAGTCTTATGATTAGGGCATGAAGGATGCATCTGCACTTGGTGAACTCTCCACACTGCAATCCGCTATGCCAAGCCTCGTGCCAAATTGAATGCTAAGATATTGAGACCATCTCGGGCTGCTATCACAGGACAACGGGTCATCACTAAGGCCTTCATCCTACCGTCCTGCTCTTCCCTTACATCTCTGCAAGGTGATACCGATGGCTGTCCGGGATTTGTTCGGTTATTCGCTTATAATCGCCGAAGACCATGTAACAGGAATCAGCTATCTGGCTCGGATAAGCCGAATGTCGATAGTGAATCCATGCTTGGTGCGTTCTTCTTATCGGGAGGTGTGAATTATATATTTGAAACCCATGTCGATCGCCGCTGCTGAACTATTACCCGGAGGAGGCTCTCGAATCTCGTGTGTGAGCATCGTGACGGGATTGCCGGGCAAGTTTCACGTCAAGGATAGTATAGCCCACCATTCTGGATCAACGGACTCCGTCGGTGGGGGATGCGGATCAAAAGGCCCGAGGCCGGCGGGAAGTAGATAATCCGGCCGGCCGCACCGGTCACGTGATGAGCGCGTGCCTTCCTCCATCCTCGTCTTCCTTTTTCTTCTATTCGAGTATCCTTGTCTTTCTAAAAAAAGCGATCGGCTATTTTAGCCAATCTGCGACCGGTAAGTTGTGCAAAGCATACTCCATTGATGTCTAATTATCAGTATACAAAGGGATTGTTACCCAGTCCTACCAATATCCCAAATGGGAATATCAAGATGGAAAACATAATTAATAATGACCTATCCAGCGGCCACAAAGGCCATTTATACAACCCATAATCACATACCCCTAGAATACCCCCCTACGGCATACAACCATCCCAAAAGAAACAATAAGAATTCCACTACAACTCAGATAGTAGAATAAGTCGCCGTAAAATCACGCATACACGACCATCCCGCCACACATTTAACTGACCCTAACAGCTCCATGGGAGAAATACTAAGATCATTATCCCCTCCAGCCACCCGGTGCACATGCATCCGTCGCTGCCGTTCAGTAATCTCACTCAATATCCGCTTCGGCGAGAATTCATCATCATCTTCCAATCCACTTAATGAAAACCCAATATCCAAACCATCCCCTGGCCGAGACAATAACTCCAATCGCAGCGCCTCCTCCGCCAACGAGGCAATCCAATTCGAATCAAACGGTCCTTCGCGATGAGGCCACGCGCGGAGGAGCTTGATAGCGCGCCATCGAACGGTATAATCCCGACAACTGAGCGCAGGGTGATATAGCGGGGCGATGATGCCGAAGTCTACGCTGATGGTGGGGCGTTTGGGGAATCGGTCTAAGATGCTCTCAGCTAGGGCAACGATTGTTTCCAGCTCTGGTGTGAAATAGGACAGTGCGGATTCGTTGCGGCCCAAGGTGCAGGTTTTCACCGATACGAGGAGCCCGATGTATTGGAGGTGGATTATTTCGGCGCTTCTCTGGTCTATGTGGGAGATGTGGGGGTAGGAAGTGTAATAAAAGGGGGAGAAGGAGTCCCAGAAGTGGGTGATTTGGGAGATGATGTCGAGTTGTTCGGAGAGGATGGGGCCGTAGTTCTCTGCTATTTCTGTCTCGGACATCCCCATGCAGGGAACCATGAAGCGGTAGGAGGCGCTGAGAACGAGATGGAGTGCGTCGCGGGTTTCGCGGAGGGTGTGGAAGGGGATGGGGGAATGGGGGTGGGGGTGGGGGTGGGGTTCCCTGGGGAGGACGTCGATGCAGAGTAGGGGTGCGCCGACGCCAAAGTGTGCGGAGGTGATGTCCAGGTGGGCAAAGGCTGCGACGAGACACTGTTCGACTTGTTCCTGGCGGGGCGTGGGCGCGACGAGCTCTCTTTCTGCTTGGAGTTCTTGGAGAATGCGGAGGCCACTTTGTAGATGGGCGAAGGCGCCGTCGTATTGCCCCCGGAGCAGGTCGGACAGAACGAATAATAAACAGCAGAGCAAGGTGATGTCGCGGAGTCGGGGATCATGTGAGGCACGGCGTCGAGTGAGGATTTGAAATGCGCGTCCGAGCTGCTCTTGGGCAAAGCGCGGCCAGGTGTCTTGGTGGGCGGGGATGTCAGCAGCTAGCGGCATGGCTTTGGCTTCGGAGTCTTGATGTAGGGCACTGAGGGCGACGGCGGCGTGATACACCGCGGGATCTGACTGGGCCATTTGTAGGACCAGGCGCTGCCAGAGCGAGGAGTCAACTGTCTCGCAAAAGGTGGGCACCGAGTGGTGTTGGAAGTAGCTGAAGCAGCGACGTTCGTCCGAGGTCATGGCCCAGCGAAAACCATTCCCGATGTCGACGGCGATCTGGGAGGCCCCGAGAAGCTTTACCAGGGATTTGCTCATTGCTGGTAGTCGATGCATGTCATAACCATCGCAAGAGCGGCCGGTGGAGGTGCAGTTGCGACAGCATCCTGGGGTTTCGTCACATTTGATATGGCGGGCTCTGTCTCGGACCTTGCTTAGCAATGCAGCAATTGGGGCTTTTGTGATCCTGACTTACCGGCAAGTGCGGCATCCGGCCCTGGATCGCTTGCTCTTGATCCGGCGTCGTCTGGATTCTGAAGCTGGTGAATGCATGGGAGGAGGGTGGTGTCGTCCAAGCCTAGTACTGCGTGAATTGTTGGCAAGAGGAGGACAGAAAGACGAGTCGCAACAGCTAATTATAATCCTGGGTATTAAGACCAGCAGCCCCAGCATGACAGGGCTTGGACTGGTCTAGTGCTGCAACTAATGCGCGCCGTCCGGCTAGTGCTTAGGGCCAGTCGCGAGGCTGAACAAAGCAGAAAATTGGAAAAACCTGGATTTTTTCATTGCAGAGTAGGGATTCCTGAAGAAATTGCTGAGTATGAATTCACGTAGTACTAGTTATCCGGCTGGTTATACATGTCATCGTGTTCCTGTTCGCGTTTCGCCAAGTGAGCCAGCTGCAACCGCTTGCTGGCCGACCGCAAGACACCACTGCGCGCATCGACCACGGGCCGAATCCATTGGTGGACGACCTCCTGGTTGGCCTTGCCATCGTCGCGCACGGGAAACCAGGTATTAGCCAGGCCGGTGGGTTGGGTGTTGATGTAGATGTTCTCCCAGTGACCGCGGGGCACCCGATACGTCTCGTGGTAGATGGCCAGGTGGGGATGTTCCTTGGCGACGCGCGACCACCAGCGCACGCCCTCCATGTGTTCCTCGTCGTGGGCGAATCGATGTAGAGCATCGTAGCTGCGGAGATAGAAGATGGTCAAGAACTCATTTCCCTCCTGTCGGAGCCAGTGCGTGGTCCCGAGGAGACCGTACTTGACCGGGTTGGCCCGCATGGCCTCCATCATCTGGCCGGCGCTGTCGCCCAGGTATTTCATGCCCGGAGCGAACATGCCCAGCGGATGGTTGCAGCGGGCCCCAAGCAAGAAGACGACAATGTCCTCGGAGGCGGGCTCACTGCCAAAGGTTCCATCCGGGTTCGGGGCTTGGGCGCTGTGTTTGACGGGGATGTTGCCCGTCATGTAGCGATTCGGGGTGATGTGACAGGCCATCAGGACATGGTCGATGGTTCGATAGAGAAGGACGAGGACGGTGGGGAGGAGGGATAGCGGACCCAGAGCCATGCAGGCTATCCCTTGGATCAAGCCGCCCAGTAGTAACCAGGAGGTGAGGGTGAGATTGCTCTGAATCATGGGGAGGGGGTTCAAGGTTGGCCGGGGGAGGGGCGTGGGACCGGACTGGTCGCGCGGAACCATGCGTGGGGGGAGTAACGGGGTGAAGGTAGCCATGGTGATGGTGGTGGTGATGCAGAATGGATAGTTGAATGTCCGGAGCAGAGCGAGGCAGTGGCTGCTTTTATAGATCAGATGAGGCCATGACGGGATGGTGGATGCCCCACGATTAGATTCATCCTAAACGGCCCAACCAATGACAAGGGGGGTGTTCAAGTGGGCCAGGGGAGGCTTAGTACTATTTTCGTGGCGGAGTAATTGTGTCAGACAGTGAGTCATGGGTCAGCATGATGACAGCAACGAATCTCTGAGTCTGGATTGGCAATGGATGCGTAGAGCACCTACTACCTACTGGTATGAACTTAACAGGTTCCTTATGAATTGATTGGATCTGGATATATTGTTGCCTGCGGGCCCGACCGCATCTGGGACCGGGCGCTCTAGATCTGGATCGACACACGGATACCTAGTACCATGGTTCAGATTGATCATTTGTGGAGAGCCAGATGCATCTTGAATTGAAAGGCCCCGTAATTGAAATATCAATCCAGTAGCGGGCGGATGAGAAGAGAAACAATAACTGACCCCCGCCCGGGAAACATGGCTCAACTGGCTGCTATCGTCCGCCGTACCCACGGGTCTCGGCCCGTGGTTGTTCCGCCATCTTTCTTCGGTCCCTTCTTTCCTTTCCTTCCTCTCCTCCTTTCCGTCCGTCCTGTCCATGGGTCCACTCCACTCTCTATCTCGTCCGACCCGGGGAATTGCTTTCGAGACTGCAGCGGGCATGCATGCACCACAAAAACACGTGGAAATTATGTTGACAGGGGGCTTCCATTCAACCGGGATCACTCCAATCCAGTGATCACCGTCGTTCCGATCGCAGGACAAGCCCGAGGCGAGGGACTTGGTTGATGAGGGGACTGGCTGCTGCCAGCCAACCAGAAGGCCGCCGTAGCCGCCCGGAGAAAGTGACTTGCTACGACCTGCAATAAAATAAATGCCAGCCCCCTCTTCGATCTTCAATTTTCTCACGTTCACCCCTTCATTAATAACATTGGCAAAACCATCATCATCAACATGATGGCCAGTGGCCTTCTTCCCTCCCTGCTGAAATATGCCTCCCTCTCGGCTGCCATCGCCGTCGGACTCTATGCCGCCCTGTTGGGCCTGTTGACCACCGAGACAGTGCAATCCCACGTCGTCTACCTCCACGCCATCCAGATGACCTGGTTCAAGGATCTCAATGTCCCCGAATCCTTTGGTTTCCTACGCAACCAAGTTACACCGTTTACTATTCGGACTCCCGATGGCGAGCAGCTTCACACGTGGCACATCCTACCCGTGGAATTGTATCGGAAACACGAACAGTCTCTTGTCGCCGAGCCCACCGGTTGGGTCTCCGATATCACCACTCGACTGGCATTTCAGCTCCTTCGCGACGATCCTGACGCGCGCTTAATCCTGCACATGCATGGCGCTGGGGGTACCGTGGGTTCAGGGTACCGGGTACCGAATTATCGGGCACTGTCCGCCGGCCAGCCCGACAAGATCCACGTCTTAACCTTTGATTACCGGGGATTCGGCCTCAGTTCGGGCCAGCCGTCTGAATCCGGTCTGTTGAATGATGCCCGGGCCGTGGTGGATTGGGCCATCAATGTCGCTGGCATCCCCCCGTCTCGCATCCTTCTCTTCGGCCAGTCCATGGGTACCGCCGTCAGCATCGCCATCTCCCACGAGCTCGCTCTCCAGTCACCACCCGTGGTCTTTGCTGGAACTGTTCTGGTGGCCCCGTTTGTCGACATTGCCACGCTGGTCTCAACCTACCGGGTGGCAGGGGTCATTCCCATCCTCTCGCCTTTGGCCCGCTTCCCCTGGCTTTTTGGATACCTCCAGCGCTTCATCCGGGACAAGTGGTTGAGCAAGGACCGCGTGGCGGAGTATGTACGGGCGAACGAGGTGAATGAGGAGCCATACCATCTCACCATCGTTCATGCCGAAGACGACTACGACATCCCATGGCATCACAGCCAGGCCGTCTTCTGGCACGCTGTCCGGGGGTCGGTGCCCGGGGGAATTAGCTACGATGACCTCCAACTCAAGAAGTTGGACGCGCAGGTGGATCTAGGTGCTGCAGGGACCATCATGGATTGGGAAATTGACCATGGTGTCATCCGCGAACAGATCCTGAAGACGGGTTTGCACGATGTCATCATGGGGTATCCAGTCGTGACCATGGTGTCATCCGCGAACAGATCCTGAAGACGGGTTTGCACGATATCATCATGGGGTATCCAGTCGTGACCATGGCTGTCATGCGTGCCTTTGAGGCGGCTGATCCCAGCTTCGCAAATTAACTGCGGTAGATTTAAAGCACACACGTATAGACGGTAGTGGCTTAGTGTACGGTTGCAATACACTACATCCATCGCAGCTGGCCTGTTATTGAGGCATCGGTACATTGAGACTTCATAATCATTCAGCACGGATTCCCTACCCCTGTTAAATTCGATGGACCAAATACAGGATACGATCACACCCTAGACACTTCATCCTCCTGTTGTCGGGCAGAATACAGCAAAGGCTGCAGCCAACGCCCCTAGATACCATTGAATCCCGGCAATGTATGCTCCCCGCCGGCTTAGGTACGATGGAACCAACGGTCAGCAAGATCATAAGTCTCATATATGACCGGCTCCTCCGCGCGCAGCGCCGCGAAGACCTCTCCCATCATCAGGATACGGCTGATGATATAGAGGGCGGGCGAAACAAGTCTGATGAGGGTTAACAAACCTCCCCAGCGGAAGACAACCTTTTCAAAATGCATGAAGACCAGAATCGAGAGCATGGATACCAAAGCAGAAGCGCGCCACAATCAGCTCTCCACCGCAGTAGGGAAGATGGTATTCCAGCAAGCCAGGTGGAGGGCGCCAAAGGAGATCCCGAACAGGCAGGTCAGCGGCCAGATCTTCGACCGATACAGTTGAGGATCCCAGTGCGCGACCACCACCTCTTTTCGAGAATGGATTTGCTGGTCCTCGATCTTCAGGAGGCTCTCCTTGCTAGTCGACGGATTGCGCGAAAGTCGCTCTCCACAGGCTCGTTGCTCGGTAAGCTCGTCTGGCCGGGAAGCCCTCTCCCGGGCGCACTGTAACTGCCGATCTTCTTCTTTCTCAAACACTCGTGGGGTGAGATACCAGGTGTTCCAGTATGACATTTGGATTTTCGATCCTTCGTTATCGAACTTGTCACTCACTGCCATGCCCTCAAAGGTTTCCCTCTGCTCGAGAGTCATGGCTGGCAGCTCCACAATGGAGGGGGATCGAATATCCTTTGGTTTATTCCACCAGAAGAAGTAGGTGACGATAAACAGGGGGATATACCCCAAGGTCATGGCTTCCAATTGAGACAGCGGGAGATGGTGTATGCCCCTGGTGACGCACTGAGCCACGAACCAGGACACCTGGACCAAGGCCGCCAACTTGGCGAACCCATCGGATTTGCTCTTGTCGCGGATATCATCCTCCGATAGACTCCAACTGGCATGGCTTTCCCACTCAATAATCTTCTGCTCGAGTAGCCATGTGTATTGGGTTGGCCAAATGACGCGATCTCCATTCGGAGTGCGGTACCGCAGGGCGAGCATGCTGATGTAGAAGGCGTGGATGGAGTTGAATTCGCCCTGGGTAAACCGGGCGCAGTCAGTTACCATCCGTCGGCACTGGGCCCATTCCTGTAACCCTTCGACAGCGACTAATTCGGGCGCTATGATGGCCTTGAAGAAGAGAGCGAATTTGTGCAGTGTCACGTACACTTCGTTCTGGTACACCCGGGGATGGATTACCACCCAGGTGCACAAGAGTATGGTCGTCAGACATGTCGTGATCAAGCTAAGTCTGCCCCGACCGGACGGATCGGATGTCCATCCCACCAACGTAGTATTTGACTGTGTGGAAAAGGTTTGGGAGGTAGTAGTGTTCATCGTCTTGGATGCAGGGCCACCTCCAACATGAACTCCCGATGATACATGAATCAATATCTGGTGAGCGCAGCTCAAGCCGCAAATACTGTCTGTGAGAGCATCTGGCCTTGGGGGGGACTCTGAATATAGAGTAGCTCTGGTACGCCGCACCTACAAGACAGGCAGGACACGTTGATCGGGCGCATCGCTTCACTCGCCGAAGGTCCCGCGACTAAATCTGTTATCAAATGAAACGTGCTGCTTAGCCGCTGTCAGCACGAATGCTTTGAGTAGGAATCGAATCAACCAGAGGTTTCCTGATTTGGTTGGTTGAAACTCACTACTGCAGCCCTAGCCAAGCAGGAGTGCGTGGGCGCGTAAATGCGGGGATAACCACCATTCATTCCGAGGCATTTGGATCCCGAAGGACCTGAATGGTGTCTATGTCTGGGAAGGCTGAACGACATGGTCCCAGTAACTATCACTCCCTCATGTGCGTGCAAACATGACAAGGCTGGAACAAGGCCGTGACACTTGACACTCGATAGCCAGCGCCTGGAGGAGGAAGGACCATGTTATTTGTCCATGCACTCAAAACATCGCATCCGGCGTGTACCTTGCCCTCTCGTGGCCATTTCCCCGACACAGGCCAATGAACAAATCCCGATGTTCCACGGCTTTGGGAATGGGACAACCCCCGCAAGAGGGTTAATGCTATCACTCTCTGCAACGATCACATCGGTTGATAAAGAGGCTCAACGGGAGAGCCATGGCCAAATATGACTGATCACAACCGTGGCATGATTTTCGTCGGCTAAGTATACCCAAGATGACAGGCCTAGACTTTGTGCTTCCAGACCCGGTCTGTGGTCCGTGCCATTAGTTTTGATCTCACGATGGGAGTATCCGTAAGGTGCAGCAGTCCCAGGGTGACTGCGAAGGCTCTTGCACGACGACAGATATTAATGACCACCTACTTGGTAGCGTATCATGTTAACCCTAGCAGGAAAGCTTAGTGTCCTACATCAACACACAGCAAGTGCGCATAGCAGCATCACATCGCGGATCCTCTGATCCCATTGCAGCCCCTGTGACCGGTCCTTGTCACTTGCAAAGTCCCTGATATCGTTATGACGTCCGGGATTTGGTACCTCGACCACCTTGGGATGTGGGGTCATCGACATGCGCAGGCGTATGACATGAAAAGGGGTGAAAAACTCCTTGCTGCAAGGGCATGGTAGAGTGGCTTGACTACTAGGGCAGCCACCATGTCACGTTGTACAATTTGCTCTCCGCAGTTCATCCGGCGATCTTCTCTTTGCTTAGAGCATGAACCGTGTGATGACCACCACTAGACCGGTAACCGGGTCAGTTCCATGAGGGATAAGCGCTGATCTCGAGCGCCTCCTGCTTGTTTGATGCGTTGCCCCAGAGAATCCACCAGCTAGCCCGTACTATCGGGACGATCTCTTCGCTCATGCTGAGCGATCATGTATCCCGGTCAATGTGACAGGTCCAGGAACCGCTGACCTGGAATCCGACCTGCCAGGGAGCACTAAACTGCCACTAGTCTGCAGGAGACCCACCAGATTGATTGTCGAGACGGGACGATATCGACAGGTCACAGAGACCTGGCTGGCAAGGGCAATTTTCCACGCTTGGGTGAGCAGGTGGCTGCACTACTGCTATGGCTGTCAATAATAGACTTACTGCGCAACTTGCAGAATTGACTATGACATCGGTCAAATTTACGATCCAGATGGTACTGACCCTTCTGGTCAGTGAGCAGGAGGGAATGGGGTGAACCGTTCATTTAAATTGGGTACCACCCAACAATTGGTCCCTGTATCTACAAGTGCAAGCTTGCTGCTGGCCCCATGGCGTCGATAGCTCATGATGGGCACCTTGGATACAGTCACGACAATCTCCGCCATGTGGTCATCACAGCCACATGTTTTGCCCTGAGTATCTCCACTATCTCGGTTGCTTTGCGTCTTCTGTGTCGAAAGATCACAGGCACCAAGGTTTTTTTCGACGACTATTTAATTATAGTGGCCCTGGTATGCCGCTTCCTTTTCGTTGTTGTCGTTGGCTGACTTTGAATGGTGACAGGTGTTTTTGTATGGCGTGTCTATTGCCGGCGTTGTCCGTATGTTCTTCCATTCGAGACACGGTGGATGTCTTGGCTCATCAAAGCAGTACTCTATAATGGACTCGGTACCCACGTCTACTACGTACCAGCAGCAGACTTGGTGGTCTATCTCAAGGTAAGCTGGTATTCCCTCAACTGCTCATTGCTGACCGGATCAGGTGCTCGCCACTGGGAGTTTTCTGTACCCCCTATGCATCGCCTTCACCAAGTTGTCCATCTTGGCACTGTACAAGCGGATCTTCTCCATCCGACCGATGATTCTGGCCGCCAACAGTGTGGGGGCGTTGGTTATTCTGTGGTGTTTCGGGGTGTGTCTGATTGGGACCGTGACGTGCATTCCGCTGCAAAAGCTGTGGGACCCTACGATTCCGGGGGGATGTATCAACCTGGCCAAGTTCTACTATGGATTGCAAATCCCCAATATCGCCACTGACGCCATTATTCTCGTGCTGCCGATGAAGCATGTCTGGGAATTGCAAGTGCCGCGATCTCAGAAGGTCATGTTGACCGGTATTTTCCTCCTCGGAGCTCTGTAAGTTTCCTTCTTCCCTTGTTGGCTCTCGCTGACTGGCTGGTATAGAACCCTGGCTTTTGACATTGTCCGCTTGGTGACTCTGATCGAGCTGTCCCAGGCCGGCGACGACATCACCTGTAAGAACTATGCCCTTCCGGCACGAATCCCACTGACCGGATATGTAGACAACCAGGTGCCTGCCAGCGTGTGGACCTGCATCGAACCGTGTGTCGGCATCACGGCCGCTTGTCTATCGAATATGCGACCGCTGTTTCTGATGTTGACTCGGCTTCCTGGCAAGATTCCCCGACTGTCCCAACCATCCAGCACCGGCTCCGGGGAAGCCAACCGATCCAAGATTGTGTTTACACAGACGGTGCGGGTGGCCAGCTCGCATGGGGATGATCGATCTGCCACTCCGAGTCGACTGCATCGGTTTCCTTATATCGGACGGTCGCCCAGCGTGTCCATCAGTATTGGAGGGGCTGCCTGATTTGCCGGAGTGTTTGTCGGTCTAGGGGTGGAGGGCCTGGTGCAGTGGAGTTGTACACGCTCGGATACAGCAACTCTCGTGGTTCGGAAATATGAATCACATGGTTTAGAAAGGAATAAATGAAGCTGCATGCAGGCTCTGCAAGTCATGGCCCCCAATCGTAGGCATCAGCGTAAGCAGGTAGGCTATTAATTAAGCCCGATCGCCGAATGTTAACTCCGTCATACCCTGGTCCAAAAATGTTACATCCTATCTCCGACCAGGCTGTCAGACATAAATACTCTTGGCACAGCAAGTGGTGTTCACCAACGCACCTCATCGTCTCTCTCCGTCCCAAAGCATCATGTCCACCAAGCCGTTAATTCTCATCACCGGAGCCAACCAAGGCCTGGGCTTCGCGACTGCCACACACCTCGCCAACACCGGCCGATACCATCTCTTGATCGCCGCTCGGTCACTCGAAAAAGCAGAGACCGCGATTCAAGAACTACAAACCAACTCCAGCACAGTGGACTCCACCGCATTGACGCCCCTAGTGATAGACGTCACCGACGACGACTCCATCCGCGCCGCCGCCCAGACCGTCACCGACCGATTCGGGTCCCTCGACATCCTGATCAACAACGCCGGGATCAGTCGACCAGCAGATCCCACACTGGGTCTCCGAGACAGCTTTCGCGCCGTGTTCGAGCTCAATGTCTTCGGGGTGGCCGTGATGACCGCGACCTTTTTGCCGCTCCTGCGGGCCTCGACGTATCCCGACCGACGGATCGTCAATGTCTCCAGCGGACTGGGGCAGATCGGAATCGCCTTGTCGCCTACATCGCCGTACAATGTGCATGCATTTGCCCTGCCAATCTACCGCAGTAGCAAAACGGCCGTGAATATGCTCACGGCGGTGGATGCGGTCACGTTGGCAGAGGAGGGCATCCTGGCAGTGGCAGTGGATCCGGGTTACTGTCGCACGAATTTCAATGGGAATCGCGGGTTGAAGGATCCGGGGGTGGGGTCGTTGGCGATTGTAAGGGCGGCGACGGAGGGGAATGCGAAGGAGATGGTGGGAGGGTTTGTGGATGATGATAATTCGTTGGAGGAGTTTGGGTGGTGAAGAAATAGCCAAGGAGATTTCCAGTAGGTGGATGGATGGATTGGAAGAATGAATGAATCGGGGCTCTCCCCTCTTATCTTGCCCCACCGATAACGTATTGTAAGTTGTATGTAACTGGCCCCTGCGGGGGTGGCCTATCTGCTTATCGCGTGCGGAGATATTCCCGGCTGATATCGTCTCCCCCGGGATGATGCCTCCATCCATCCTCTTCATCTCTCAGTCATGGCAGAAGGTCGTCGATCAACTCGCGCGTATGCCTCCTCCCCGCTTCTGTTGTTTTGATAACGATCCCAATGACTGATCAAAATAATCAGATGCGACGAATGTCGCCGACTCAAGGAAAAATGCGAAGGAGGCATTCCCTGCCGCCGTTGCGCCCACTTTCGTCGGCCCTGTGAATCCAAAGCCCTTGCTTCCCGGGCGCGCGACTTTCGCGCTTATGTGCCTCGGTGGGTGACACTTTATGGATTACTGGATAGAGACTAATGTAGTGGCAAGAACACGACCCGCCAAATCGGAAGTCCAAGAGTTGGTCGATCGGTGCAGATACATGGAGCAGATCTTGAAACATACCGTCGAGGGAATTGCCCTTGATACTAAGAGTTTGGCTCGGATGGCCAACTCCCTGGCAGCAGGACGAACATCGGATAGTCCGGGGGTGCCCAGTCCAGCTGGTCTGGCTATCGAGGATGAGGCTTGTACTATTGATCCGGTCGGGGATACAACCACGCGTGCGTCTTTCCTTCTTCAAGCTTTTCTGAGTGATGGCTAAGCTATTCAGATTTCTCTGGAGAGTTTTCCTACTGGAACTTCTCAATGCGCATCAAACAGCGCATTCAAAGTCGCATGCGGACTAAAAGTCCAGACCGGGTGTCAGGGTACTGGCGGGCTCAGCAGTTGAAGACCAACGAGCATCTATCGGCAGCGTTGGCTTGTTTTCCTCCAAGGCCTATCACCGGGTTCCTTGTCAAGACTTTTTTGAAGTATGCTGCCACACATTGGTTTCTCGTGGACGAGGACTGGTTGCTGGAGCGTGTGCATCTGTTGTACACGGATCCGGCCAGTCTAGGGGACAAGGCTGCCGCTGTTACTAGTATTCTCTTGTCGGTGCTGGCTATCGGAACGCAGTATGCCCATCTCGAGTCACCCAGCGATCGTGCATCCAACGACCAGACATCTGCATTCTCCGAGGAAGACGTCGGGGTGCGGTTCTACGAGCAGTCCATCCGGTTGCTCCCTGAGATTATCGAGTTGTCTTGTCTAGAGAGTGTACAAGCCTGTCTGCTATTAGGATTCTATGCGCTACCAGTGGATGCGTCCGGCCTGGGATACATCTACGTGAACCTGGCAGTGCGACTGGCTATGCAGAATGGCATGCATCGAAAGTGCCACCGGGATGCCTTTACTCCGGTCATGACTGAGACGCGCAATCGGGTGTGGTGGACGGTTTGTTCCCTCGAAAGGTGAGTCATCACAGCTGCTCTCATCCATCAACTAACATTGCCAGGCTTATATCCATCTTCCACGGTCGCCCCTTGTCAGTCCGTCGAGAAGACGTCGATGCAGATCTACCACATGCCCGTAACGACATGAACCAGACGCAATCTGCCTGGAACACGCAGTGTGCGATAATCTCCATCCAGATGCTTGACTGGTTGGAGGAATTCTTTCATGACATGTACCCCTCCCCTTCATCAATCTGCAGACGGTCAGTACTGACGGTGCAGATCCCGCCTCCGACACGCCCAGCACCAAGACATCCCCACCGTTCTAGCCCGTTTAATGGCCCGCAAAGAATCCTGGAACCGATGGTGGACAGCCATTCCGGAAGAAATCCGCAACCCAGCCCAGCCGTGGCAACAGCATCGTGCAGTCATGCATCTTCGTTTAGAATCCTGTCTAGTGCGCATGTTTATCGGGCGACCCTTTCTCCTCCGGAAGGAGGCCCCTCAAGCAGATGGGAGTAATTTAGCTGCTCCCGAATCGAAAGACCTCCACCCCTCCGACCGCGATGATCTCATTGGGGATTGCATCCAAGCTGCCCAAGAGGCACTGGAAATCTGCCGGCGTCTACGCGATCATGGACCAGGATTGGCACGTGCTTCGTACCTGGAATATAGCGCCTGTCGAGCTGCCCTGCTGGTCTTGATCGCCTACTCAGTTCAAAGTCTTTCCGATGCACTGCGGCAACCAATGCGCGAAGGATTAGCCCTGCTTCGTGAAATGTCAGCAGCAGGTGATTCCGCACGGTCGGAGGTATCTTTCCTTGAGGCATTAGAACGGTCCCTGGCGCGGCTGCAGACCGTCACTCAACGACCGGAGAATACACCCCAACCTGCTACCTTGGTGTGTGATTATGATGCTTTTCGACATTGGGGATCTATGGCAAAGAAGTCGGAGGCCCACACGGCAGTGAACCAAGATGTAGCGGAATCATGGACCGATCCTCTGGTAGAAGTTGAACATATTCCCAATTTTGATCCCTCCCTTGACTTGTCGATATTTGGAGGGACGAATCTGTCTCCGTCAGCGACATGGCCCACACGGACAGAGACACAGGTGTTGGAGGAGTTCCTGGCGGGATCGAATTTGGATCCGATATGGAATCATGTTGATTTGCCCTAATTATACCTACTCATACTAATACAGTCCCCATCTACCATACATTACAATGCTTCATGCCAATAATACATCTACAAGCCTCCAGTATATCACAACAACCACAACACTCACTACTAAAAACACACACGCACCCCCTCCCCCCTCCCCCTGTCTCACTCACCTTTCTCCACACTCTCAACTCCCAACCCTCCAACCTATTCATCCTACCATTCACCCTCTGAATCAAACACACCTCACTAACAATAATTAAATTACTCAATTGATTAACTAGAAGACCTAGCAATAATCCCCTCCGCCATCTCCACCAACCCCCCCGCCAACACATCCATCCCCTGTTCAAAAACCATATGTGCCCCCTCCCCCTCATAAACCGTACAATACGCGCCCCTAAACCCAACCTTGGTCGCAGCAGCCACATCCCACAAATGCGCAGCCGCAAACCACTTCTCCCCCGCCCCTCCCTTATCCCCATCCAGCTCACTCAACCTCCGCAACGCAGGCTCATAAGCCTTCAACGCCGGCTTCGCCACACCAGCAGTATCACAACTGA